GGCCGCAAAGGCCGGACGTTGGCGCTGGCTGTGTGCCGCCTTCTGCTCACAGCAGCCGGCCTCTTCTCTCCTTAAAGCACCCTTCTCTCCCTGAGCACTTCTTTTGTGCTTCTTCCCCTCCTCCTTTTCTGATTTCCACCTTATGGTAAACAGCAGACTTTCATATCTACCAACTGCCCTGACCAATTCATTTACCAGGACAAGTGAGAACCTGGAAAACACTGCTGGTCCCCAATCCATCTGTGCACGCCTGTGCACGCCTGTCATCCCAGCACTCCGACGGCTGAGGCAGGAGGATCGCTGTGAGTTCAAGGCCAGGTACACAGAGACCCTGCCTCAAAAAACCAAAAAATTTTAGACACTACCTCTGTTTGAGGAAAGAAAGGATATACAACAGCGTCTGGTATGGTGTGGCATGAATCACCCCGCAAAAGTATATTGAAACCTCAATCGCCAGTCCCTCAGAATGTGGTTACCATGGTATCCAAGCGTCCCCATTAAAGACAAGGCCACTGACACACACACAAGGGCAGTGCGCTGCCACACACCTGGGCCCCGGTTCCCCCGATGTCTGGCTGCAGCCACGAGGACAGAGGCCAGGTGGAGGCAAAGGCGGAAGTGGACACCAGGAGACTGGGAAGGGACAGTGGACTTCCACTCAGAGCTCCAGGCAGCAAGGGCCCTTGGCACTCTGGAACCAGACTTTCAGGCTCTGGAACTGTAAGACCCACATTCGTACGGCCTGGACACACCGAGACGCGGCGCCCTGCTGTCATGTCCTGGGAAACCAGCTCACGACTCTACCTGCACGGTTCCTAGGAAGTCCCACCTACCCCAGTCCAGGAAGCCCACCCTGCGACCAGTATTCAGAGATGTCGTGGTTAAAAGGTGAAATTCTGCCTTGATGAGGACATCCCATTTTCCACAAGGAAGGGACCAGTGCACACCTGTAATCCCAGCACTTGGGAGGCTGAGGCAGGGGGACTGAGACCTTAAGACTAGCCAAGGCTACACAGGGACACCTTGCCTCCAAAACCCAAAAAAGAAAAAGTGATCTACAAGCACAGGTTTCCCACAGGCCGAGGCAGGGGTGTGGCCCAGCATGAAGCCTGCACAACTCCAGGCCCTGGGTTCAAGGTCCAAGTGCAACACACTTCAAATATTGTCCTACCCTCAAACTAAAACCCTAAATCTGCTGGCAGATAGGACAGGTAGAACTCAAAGGCATTGGTGTAGGTAAAGACTTTATGAACAAAACCCTGATCGCTCTGGAAATAGAACAAAGAATGAACAACTGGAATCTCATTTTATCAAAAAGCTTTTACACAGCAAGAGAAATCATCAGAGTGAAGAGACTATCCACATTGTGGGAAAAAATTTTACCAGGTGCTGCTCAGACAAAGGACTACTATCTAGAATATATAAAGAACTCAAAAAAATCAGACCCCCCCAAATTTAAAGACCTAATCCAGAAATGAATAGACACTTCTCAGATAAAGAAGAAACAACAATATATGAAAAAATGTTCAACATCACTGGTCATTTGAGAAATGCAAATTAAAACAATGCTGAGATTCCATCTCAACCCAGAAAGAATGGCTGTGATCAAGATATCAACCAATAATAAATGCTAGTGGGGCCAGGGATTTGGCTCAGTGGTTCTGCCGTCTGCCTTGCAAGTGCAAGGGCCGGAGTGGGCCGAGTTCGATCCCCGGTACCAAAAAAGAAACAAATGTTGGCGGGGTTGTGGGGAGAAAGGAACCCTTCTCCACCGTTGGTGGGAGTGCAGACTGGTGCAACCACTGTGGAAATCAGTGTGGAGAGTCCTCAAAAACTAAAACTAGAGGCTCCATTTGACCCAGCTATCCCTCTTCTTGGTATCTTTTGGAAATGATTAAACGCATCATCCCAGAGTGCTATATGCTCACCTATGTTTACAGCAGCACAGTGTGTAATACCTAAATCTTGGAGACAGCCCAGATGTCCATCAACCACCCATGGGTGCAGATGTGATTTTTAATACACTAGAGTACTTGAGACATTTATAGCTAACTGGATGGACCTTGAGACCATAATCAAGTGAAATCAATCAGACACACATTTAAATACCACAGGCTTCTCTTGTGTGAGAAACTGAAAGTAGAAACAAGGACTAAAATGTGTAACAGATATTGGGAAATGGGAAAAAACATGTTCAAAAGGTAAGGGGAATAAGAGAGGGAGGGAGAAAGGAGGGGACGTGAAAATATAAGGACAAAATGCAAATAAAGCTTTTGCTGGGGGGGGGTTGCAAGGAGGGGGGATGGGAAAACAGAGGCAGGAGGAACCACGTACAGGTGCAAATTCGTACAATGAGCATTATCATTATGTATGCCTAAAATATACCAACAAATGTTTTGCTATTAAAAAAATAAAATAAAATGCAATAAAAAAATTTTTCCCATCCTCCAACTACCAAGCAGAGAACTGTGCCATGAAACAGAATGGTCTCTCTCCTCACAAGCGCTCCCTGATTCATCCCGGTCTTGCTAGGTCTTCCTACCAAAGGCTGAAAATCAGAGAGGGTGACAGCTGCAAAGCAAGACGCAGATTATCTGCAGCTGCACCTGTCCACTAGAAAGGCACTGTTTCTGAGCAGACAGGGTAGTGTACAGATGTGTTTTGTTTCTTCTTTGGGAGGTGCTGGGGACCAAGCGCAGGTGTTGTGCGTGCTGGGCAAGCGCTCTACCTCCAGCTCCACCTCCGGCTCCCCGCACAAAATCGTAATGACCACACTGTATGGGTGGCTGTAAAAATACCTTGTAAACCACTGCTAGAGATGGAGAAATGGAATTTTTCTATTTTAAACTAGATTCTAGAGATTAAAGACCCACATCTGAATTTTGGTTTTTAATGGTAATTCAATCATTTCTACTAGCTAATCTATATTAATCTGAGAAATGATCAGAGAGGCAGAGAGAGAGAGAGAGAGAGATCCACTGTCCCAGGCGTGGAGCCTCAGGAAAGACACAACAGGGGAAAGGTACCAGCATGAGGAGAAACCACCCTGCTGCAATTTTAAAGTCCGCACCACTGGTTGCAAAGGACAAAAAGTGCACACTGAGAAGGAAAGGGCAGGCAGACAACAGAGAAGAAATGAGACCACAAGACAGGCTGCATGCCCAGGGCAGCTCACAGCCTCTGCGCCTGGCCGGCTGTCCCCGGTCAAACAGGAAAGTGTTTCAGCCCGGAGGGAGAGGTGCTGGGGTCTCTGACTCCCTCCCCCTAGGGCCAACCAGAGCGATTTTATGCTGAGACCAACAGAAGGGGCCACAAGGGTGTGTGTGTGTGTGCATGTGTGTGTGTGTGTGACAGTGACCTAGTGTGTGACAAGGGATGAACCAACGCGGAGAAGCCTGCCCCTTACACAGCTGCTCATGTCACACACTTTATAGTTTCATTTCACCCCATAAAATCCACCAAGGCAAAACCAGCGCTGGCAGCACAGTGCAGTGGGAGAATGCGAGCCCAGCGCGGGCCAGGCCGCAGGCACCTGTCCCAAAAGGCAGGAAAGCAGGCATCCCTGCTCCTTTCAGAAGCAGGAGCTCAGGCTCCAGGAAATTGAGTGATTTGGCCAAAGGGTCCTGTGCACATAATTCTCCATATCCTCGGCTAAAACTCAATCCTCTTGGTCCGTCCCTTCCCATTACAGCACAGCAATTCCACGCTAACATTGAGTTCAGCAAGAAGCAAAAATGCAAGACTAGAGAAGCCAGCACTGATAAATGCTAACCAGTGCCCAAAGTGAGGCAAGGGCTCCAAGCCTGATTCACCCCTGTGCAGCTTCGTCCAACTGGGGTTAGTTGTGGGCGACGCCTGGGCCTCCAGGTGGCCCTGGGTCAGGATGGGCTCAGAGGCAGCGGGTGCTCCACAACCAGGCCCAGGCTGCACCCTGCTGAGCTAGAGCTCTCGCACACGCAAGTGCACACAGTGTCCCTCCGCGGGGATGCAGCCTGGGAAGGGTGGAGACAAGAGCACTCTCCAGGAAGAGCCAGGTTTCAGGGCCGCAGAACCAGAGGCCCTGGGGTTCCAGGGACAGGAGCTCAGTGAGGGCAGTGGACTTCTCTGAATCCTCAAGACTTCCTGGAGGCATGGCTGGAGGCTGGGTGGACCCCTTTAAGCAGATGATGTCCGCACTGGCCAGGACCCGAAAGCCACCCTTCCCTCTGGAACTCAGCCACGGCCCACACCCTGCAGGCCACTCCCACAGAAGGGAATGGAACAGTACTTCACGGCGTTGTATTTATGTATCTGAGCCTCTGTGTGTGTGGTCCTGGGCCTGAATGAACTCCAGGCCTCACCCAAGAGTCCCATTGCTATTTATTTATTTTTCCGGTACTGGGGTTTGAACTCAGGACCTTGTGCTTGCAAGATAGGCACAGTGCCACTGAGCTAAATCCCCAGCCCTGCTTTTTAAACAGCCATAGATGGGCCGGGGATTTAGCTCAGTGATTCTGCCACCTGTGTCGCAAGCGCAAGGTCCAGAGTTCGATTCCCAGTACCAAAAAAAAAGAAAAAGAAAAAAGAAATAAACAGGCATAGACACAAAGAGAAACACTAACCTAGAAATAATCAGTCAATTAAGTTTCCTTAGTCTTGATCCAAAAAGGGTCAGACTGGATATTACTTCTGTACCAAGTCATACTGCATCAGACAAGCCAATTAAATGTGCCAATCCAGAGTTCAGGTGAAAACGAAATCTAGAGCTGGCAAGAGCCAGTTTCTAGCGTTAAAAGACAGATCTCTGGGACTGCTAAGGCAGAAAAATCCTCATTTTACAATTATAAGTGTAAAAAAATCATTTGGGCCAGAATCACTGACGGATGACAAATCTAGGGGAAAATTTTGATGAACAGGCTCTTTGCATGGTCTTTAATAAGCCTCCCCATGGACTGTTTATTTGTTGCCAAAGAAATTTAACTATACAGTAAAAAAATCGAAGCGCTCAACAACCACTGCCATTGAGGGACAGAAACCACGTGCCTCTCACTCTGTGCGATCTTGCTCTACAGAGCCAGCTTCTCACTCATTCTTTACCTGCATTTTTCAAGTAAACTTTACTGGTGCGGGGGCTGGACAGGGTACATGGTTACCACCGAGGCAGGCAGTAGCATGAGGATAGAAGGGGGCTCTGCCAAGTGGATAATGCCATGGTGGGGTTTTGGGTTTTTTTCACTTACAGAAGCTTTATTCCTATTTGCCAAAACTTGGAAGCCATCAAAAGGTCTTTCATCAGGTGAACGGATAAACAAACTGAGATATACCTGTAGTGGAATATTATTCCATGCTAAAAAGCAATGAGTCATCAAGCCACAAAAATGCATGCTTAAGGACAGCTTTTATTTATAAAGAAAACATCAATATCAGCTTATTTCCTAAGATTTTTTTTTTTTTAAATCAGCATAGAGCTGAGAGAACAGCTCAGTGGTAGTGCTGGCCCAGCACGCAAAGGGCCCTGCCTTCAATCTCTAGCACCACACACACACACACACACACACACACACACACACACACGTATTCATTATTACTGTTTCCTCAAATTAATATCATTTCATTACCATCAGATAAGAATGCTAAATAGCTTCAACACACATCTATGTGCCTCCTGCTCCCTGCAATATGCAGCCCTCAGAACGAAAAGACTAAGCAGTTTGTCAAGTGCTATCTGGCATTACACATAATTTGGAATAACTGAAGTTCCCTGTAGTCATTAGGCTGAAGGTGCTAACCATTATCAAAACATTTCCCTACTATACAAGCGCACCAGAAATCCTCACTGCTGTTTTCATACTTAGGAAGTACTTAAGTACATGTCACAAGCATGTAACGTGGGCGGTATAGTTTCTCATTGTACTTTATTGAATTGAGAGTCTCACTGCAAGTTCGTTCTACAAAGTAAAGGATTACCTTTGCATAATACAGCTTGGGAAATAAAATGCTGTATTTGAGAACTTTATATTTTATACAGCAGTTTAAAAAATTTAGCTGAGTGTGGTGGTGCACTTTCATAATCACTACTCTAGAAGGCTGAGGCTGAAGGACCAAAATTTCAGGCACAGGCTGAGCAACTTAGCTACTTGGCTAGACCTTGTCTCAAAAAACAAAAATAGCTGGGCATGGTGGCACACATCTGTAATCCCAGCACTCGGGAGGCTGAGCCAGAAGGATCACTGTGATCCTATGTAGCTTGGGCTACATAGTGAGTTCCAGGCCAGTCTCAACTACATAGTGAGACCCTGTCTCAAAAAAAAATAATAATAATAATTTTAAAATAATAAAATTTAAAACAGGGTCAGGGATTTAGCTCAGTGATGCCCCACCTGCCTTGCAAGTGCAACATCCTAAATTCAATCCCTGTTACAGGGTGTGTGTGGGGTCAGTGTTAAAAGAGCTGGGGATACAGCTTCATGGGAAGGCCCTGGGTCTAATCCTCTGCCCTGTGAAAGAAAAACCTTAAAGAAACAGAAAAAGGAAGCAATATAAACCGATTCTAAAGGTATAAAATAAAAAATGAAAATATAGTTACCAGTTTTTATAATTAGGAGAATAGATTCTTTTTTACTTAAATCAGCTCAGTGGCAGAGCACATGCTTAGTGAGCATTGCCAGGAAACATAGAGATCAATTCATTAATGACAACTCCTAGCCAGTTCTCCAAATTTAAATTGTTCTGAAAACAAAATAATTACATATAACCTAAGAAAAAACACATCTATTACCTTCAATGGTGATACATCGATCTACAAAATACAGTAGCTGATATTTTAAAAGTTATCTTTAAAGATATGATTTTGAAAATCTTACCATGAGCTGTGTAGTTTGTACAGTTAACTGGTTCTTGCGTAGCTTCATTTATTTTTGGATCTTTACAAATATATGTTAAAAACAGTTAAGGAAATATGAACTCATTCCCAACATAAAGCATTATTATGTCTTTAATACAAATGTACTCACATTGTGAGAGGCTGGCAATTCATCTAAGTCTACAAGCACAGGAACAGACAGCCTTGCTAAATACACAGCCCCTGAAAGTTAACTTACTACGGGGGGAGTGCAGAGACTAAATTACATGAAAAGCTTAGCAGGAGTCACCCTTGAAGAGCATCAGTCAGATGTAAAGCACAGAGCCATGTTCAAAGTCATTGCCAAATTACTTCAGAGGACTTCACCTTAAAAATCAACTCTGCTTCCAGACTTAATTCCATTTTAGGCAAATGTTCTACCAGGCCCACACCACAGCAGCACCAGTAGCCCTCCAGAATCTGCCTGATCCCTGTTTACGATTTCCGAAACCTGCCTGGAAACGTCATCGTCATGCTGGGAGTCGCAGTCTCGTCCAGTTGTCCCCACCGCACATGCTGCGGGGTGCATCACTTCTCCCCAGGCTTCTGCTCTTCAGTCCACTGCGTTCCTGGAATCATCTTCCTCCTTTCCCCAGAGAATTCAGCTTAGATTCTCAGCCTCCAGGCAGCCTTTGCCACAGGGTGCGATGCGGCCAGAGGGAGCGGGACCTGTCAACTGCGAGACCCCTGGGCTGCAGGACCCGTATGCAGAACTGTGAGAGGGTCTCACCAGAGGTGGACAGGAGGCGACGGCTACTGGAACACCGCCTTCTCTTCACCGTACGTGCTTCTATCTTGGTTCTTTCTTTTCATCGTTTTTTGGCCCAAGTTCATTCCACAGAGCCAGTTTTCCCCTTTCCCCTTCACCTCTTTTTTCCCATCAACTTTTGGCACCGGTATTGGCTTGTCTCCTCCAATTGTTAGTTTGAGGCAAGAAGGACCTGGACTACTTTTAAGCGGTGAGCGATTTTCAAAAGAATTATTTGATAACATCGTGGGATTCAACGAGTTAGAGCCACTATGTGAAAACTGAGTTTTGGCTCATAATGCCCAAATCTTGTAAAAGGAGGGGCGCATTTTCTTAATGTTCAGATTTTCCCCTCAGAGAATCCTTATTGTACAGGCCGAGTATCTTTTGCACCAGTCGCTGCTCTAAAACTTTCAGATTTGGGGGCACTGAGGATTTCAGGGTTCCGGGGTAACGATGTGCAAGCTGTGTCCTCGCCTGTTACTTTGTGAAAATCCGTGGGACAGGGCTAACCCCGCGAAGCGCGCGGGGTCCACTCAGCGGTCAGCGCCACCTGCCTCCCCGCGCTCCCCC